TTGAATTATACAAAAATATTCAAAATCTCTTTAACTATATATCATTTTTTTCAAAATTATTTATGTACTTTTCAAAATGGTAATAGAATTTTCATTTCATGTTAAGTTTTTTTAGTGGTGTTTGATTGCACTAAAATAAAATATGTCATGGACATGTCACATTAAATTATTTTTCGGTTTACTAATTAATCATTCGCGTTAGTATCCCCATAGATGTCATGTCAAATTTTTTGAATTCATCATTTAAAAGCTTTTTACCGTACTATATAAACTTTACTTTGAGCCCATCACGAAAAAATTCCCTTCCCTCTCCTCTATTCTAATTGTCTTCTTCACATAATCTTTCTTGTTTGTGATATAAAGCAAAAAATAATAATTAGATGTCCATCCCTTATTGGCAAAGAAAGTATTGTTATTTTTCAACCACTGCAATATACATACCTTATAAAAAATATAACATCCGAATTCGAAAATTTAGGTATGAGATTATTTAATCATAATAATGAAATAAATTTAAACAATTTGAAGTTCAACTTTTTGTTGAATTTTTTAAGAAAATTGTGTTTTACATGTATTTGAAAATATTTTCAAAAATCATTGTTAAAATAGAAATAAATGAGAACTTAATTGGAAAAAAAATCTAAAAAATTAGAGTAAAAATAAAAATAACAAAACTTTGACCAATGACCCAGATCTCCTCTCACACGCATGGACGACCCTGATATGTTTTCTCTTCAGACGTAATCGAATGGCTAGATTTGATCATGTCGTGCGGTCTAGATTAATTTCTTAAATGAGAGCGATCCAACGACGGTGAGTGGGCCACGTGTCCCTGTACGGACGTGTCTAGATCGACGCAGAGAAGGTATATAAGCATCACATCCCCAAAATTCTAACCCTAACAGCACCTGACCTCGCTGGAGAAGAAGAAAAAGGACGGTCAGAAAGAAAATCGACCGTCATCACCGCCACACCGGAGCCACTGCCGATGCTGGAAAGGTAAATTTTTTTTCCCCTTTCGTTCGAAATTTGATTTCAAACCTCATCACATTCATATCGGAGCCAGAAAGCCAAAAGATAAGCCGAAAAATAAGAACGGAGCTCAACCGAGCGCCAGGACCACAACCTAAAAACCGCTCTAGTGAACCTTTTCCCATTTTTCGTTCCCTTTGATGTTTTGACCCTTGTGTTCCTAATCTTTTTTCTGGTGCAGGTCAACCAAAGAGAACCCCCAACCGTGGGAGAGAAACAATGGAGCCACCGTACCTGAAAAACTCCAAGTCGGTAAAGTTGTGATTTTTCCTTTTTCGGCAAACAGAGACTGCCTAACCCCGTTCTTTTGCAGGTTTTCATGCAAAACAGGCTAAAACCAATTGAAAACGGTCAGACTGAGAGGGGACATCACCGTGGGCGGTGGAGCCAGCGCTAGAGATTGGCGGTGCCACCGTGCCGAAACCTTAAATCGGTCGAAAAATTTAAAAATGCTTATTTTTTGTCTTTTGGGATATTTTAAAATAAGTGATGTGTGTTTTTTATTTTCGCAGAAAAAATCAGAAAACCCGAGAACCATCAAAACATGCAGTCAAAAATGCGGTGTTTCGAACATCGACCTAGGATAAGAATCTCTTACATTTTTCTTTCATTACATTAAATTAAAGTTTAATAATTAATAACAGTGTATTTTGAAACTATTAAAAATCTCTAATTAATTGAATACAGGTCACCAGGGGAGCTGGTAACCAACCAATGTGTAATTGCCCTAACTGTAACACCCAAAATTTTCCTTTATTATTTTGTTATTTATTTTTATTAGAATTTTTGTTTAATTTTATTCTATTTTAATTTTTAATTTATAAGGTTTTAATTTAATTTAATTTAATTTAAAAGAAATAAAAATAAAAATAATAATAAAATATGATAAAATTATTTTTTGAATTTAACTGAAATTGATTTAAAAAAAAAAGAGTGAAAATTTTGATTCTGTGGTGTTTTTGAAAAAAAAATCGAAAACCGGGGGTCAAAACGTAATTTAGAAAAATAGTGCCTCGTCAGCAGCCACAGCAGTACGGGTCAGCAGCCCCAGCCAACCAGGACACGCCGCGTGGCAGGGACGCTGACGCGGGAAGCCACGCGGGACGGAGACACATTGGCGATCCGCGTGCGCGCGATCGGACGGCCCAGATCTGTTCCCGCGTGCACCGACGGCCCAGATCAAAGGCGCGCGTGGACGCCTCAGATCTCACGTGTGCGGACGGTTCAGATTTGATCACGCACGGACGGCCCAGATCGCATCGCGATAGACGGCTCAGATTTATTTCTAATTTAATCGCGATCAGACGACTAAGATTAAATCATGATGGACGGCTCAGATTAAAAGAGGATGATTATAAATAATCGCATCCACACCCTAGCTGCTAGAACCCTCGCTGGAGAAGACGATCCAACCATCGGAGGAACCGGCCGTCGCCACCCGCCGCTGAACAGGATGACTTTTCGGCCGCCAAACGAGGTACAATTTTTCCTATTGGCTCATTTTTTGATGTCGAACCTCCCTGTGGCTAAATCGGAGCCAAACCACCAGCCGATTGACCGAAAAACACCGCTGAAGTCCAGCGGCACCGCTGCGGGTTTCCTCAGTTTTTGCCTCCAATGAGGCCCTTCCCTTTTCTCGTTCGATGTAATTTTTATACCACTATGACCACCGTCCTTTTCTCTACATGTTGACTGGAGCAAAACACCAAATCGCAACTCGCACCAGAGGAGCTGTCGTACACGAGATCTTCGCCGCCGGTAAGTTTCGATTTTCTAAAATTTTTTGGCCCACCGAGGGCCCTAGGGGTGTTTTATCACCGGAACCAATGCAAGTTTGGCCGAATTCGGCCGAAAACAACCAACCCGAGGCGGATCGTCGCCGTGGGCGGCAACACCGTGCTGGAATTCTGAAATTGGGCGAAAGGTGATTTGGGATTTTTTGGGGACATGTGCAGGTACCGGAAGTGTGTTTCAGTTTTCGGAGAATAATTCAGGGAATATAGGGACTGCCCGTAGGTGTAGTGAGGACCTGATTTCGGATTTCGAAATAAGTAAGGATCTCTCACCTATTTTCTATCACGACATTAAAGGCTAATAAATGATAAAACGGTATTTTATGAATTAATAGATATGTATAATTGATTAAGGTTGCTAATGGAGCTGAATCTGATGTATTTGTCGGTCTGTTCCTGTTTGATGTATTTTGCAGTTTTGAATGCAGTATGGCGCTGATGTGTTTATTCTATGATTTCATATGCATGAATCACGGTTTCATTTATTATGCTTTGAATTATTGTGAACCCGATGTTGTGTTACTTTGTTTGGTGTCAATTACCGGTTTACGTGTTTGTATTTGATTGGATAATTGAGATTAAGAAAAATGGTAAAAATATATGTGAATTGATAATGGATAATGTCGACAGCCTCACTAGATATCCTGGGAGATGGTGGACGGATCGGGTCCATAAGGAACCCTACCAGGAACGTGGTCTCTCATATCGGACGGGGTATAGAGACTTTATGTGTTTTGGCGCCTATACCGGACGGGGTATGGGGATAACCCGTTTCACCCTCATACTGGACGGGGTATTGAGGTTTATGATTTTGGTGCCTATACCGGACGGGGTATGGGGACAGCTCTGGAATTAAGTTATTAATATGGATGGTTCACGTGTAGCGGGAACCCCTATGGATTACCCATGGATACTAGTAGGCTGATAAAAAAAAGGGTAATTGTTGCCTGATGATTGAAATATAAAAGCATGATATGTGTTATGTTGCAGAGTATGCGTGATATTATGATATTTATGATGTAATTGTTTTCATAAATTGTTTTCATGAATCTTACCGAGGCAGGTGGACTGTAAAGGGTTTTATTATTGATAAATGAGTTTGTTATAAATTATGCTCCATTGGTCGTTTTTGTTTTCTACCAAGCTTTACTCCTGTGACAGTGAGATAGTGTGATGTCTTTAATGAGCTAGTGTAGCTCATTACTTACTTAACCACTTCAGATCAGGAGGACTTGGTTCCCAAACCCGTTCTGCAGGAAGACGGCGAGCAGAAGCCAAAGAATTTATTAGTTTTCCTTACAGCATTCATTCATAATATTTCATTTAAGTTAGTTTATTCTTTCATACTTTAATTCGTTTTGGTTATTGTGTAAGGGATGTTAATCATAATCTATTTTATTTCGCTTCCGCACTTGAAATAAATATATATACATTTTCTTTGAATTTCCGGGGCCGTTACACTAACTGTGTTGTCTATCTATTACTATACTGCCTAAATTGCTATTATTTATTGATTTTAATTATTTTCTCACTTATTGATTATTTAATTTATTTTTCTCACCTGTTGATTGATTTGAAGTAAATGTCATAATCCCTTTTTTTTTAATTATTTGTATTGTCTATTTACATGTTGTACTATTGATATGTAAATATAAAATAATTGTATATAATTGGTGACTAGTTTAATGATGTAAATATGTGCATAAAATGTTTATCGGGTATCATGAAAAAGGATGTACGGACCTGCTACATAGAGCAAACCCTACTATGGATATTGACTTAGTCGAACGGGGATGAGAAGTCCCATACCAGAATGAGTTGTGGGGTATAGTTCACCATCACACCAAACGGGGTATTGAGGCTGTGGTATATTTGGTACCCATTACCAGACGAGATATGGGGACGATCGGTTAATTGATAAATTAAATTTTGGCCCACGCGTAGGGGGGGAACTCTTATGGACCTTCAAAGGTACCGGTAAAGGTAACATTTATTATTACTGTTCGTTCAAATGTGTAATAAATTACTATCCTAATTATTGCCTTCGTATGCCTATTTTAAAAACTTAAAAAGGTGAGTATGAAACTAACGATTTTTTTTATATTAAATGAATTTATTTAAAAAAGATAATTGTTCTATTTATTGTTTTACGATTTTTACCAACCTTTAATTTTTCGTATCGATGTTAAGTGTTGACATTCTTACTAGTATAATATAACTCATCCATCTTATTTAACTATTTCAGATTATGAAGACTAAGATTTGGATCCTGAACTGTAAGAAGATTGCAACTAAAAATTATCTACTGCATCCCATCAGAGTTGTCTAACGGAGGTTAACCTTATAGGATTTTAGTTTTTTTTTTTTTTTCTGTTTATGTTATTTTAACTTTCTTAAAATGAACATTCCTGTAACCCTATTGGACATTTTGATTTACTGTGTAATAAATATAAATTCTAAACTAATAATTGTTTCCGCTATTATTTTACTAATTCAATATCTTCATTTATATTGAGTTTTAGACATTTACAAAAAAATGTTTGCATTGCATCTTAATCACTTTATTTCCTCCCATCATCATCTCTTCTAGATATATTGTAGTACTCCTTCATTCCACCACTATCCCCATTTTTATCTTAATCTTATTTATTATTCATCCATACCATAAATATTTTCTTTCTCAATGTCTTCATGGAGTAAATCAACCTGCACCACCTATAGGTTAATGGAAAGACAAAACCTATTACAATTGTAATCGGTCATGTGGTGTGCTAAAGACAAGATTCTTGGCACCAGAGTTCAAAGTCACCATTGAGATTTAGGAGCAACTGGTAGAGAATGTATTGTTGAGTGGTGAATGGTGATGTGAAGGATATGAGATTAAGAGAAATATAAAAGAAGATATTCAGAGAAGGTGATTGAGTTGTTAGATGAAAAATCAATAATGATGTTTTTGCAGTATAAGATTTAATATATATAAGTGAGTCTGAGCATAATTTAATATTTTTTTTGGTAATCAAATTGTAGATAAATCAACTCAGTCGTGTTCATATTTACTTGCACGTTTCTCAACATCATTTTCAGCGTCTCATAACATATAATTAACATGAAAGAGATAGAGAACCAAAAACAAGAAACTAATGAGGGAAAACAAAATAAGAGAGAAAGAAGATTTGAAGTTTGTAGGAATTGTGAATTAAAATTATTGTAGAATTAAGAAAGATAATATTATTCATGTTTGGAATTTTCATTTTAGAAAAAAATTAAACCTTTTTTTTTTATAAAAAAAATAAAACTTAAATATTCTATTTGATTAATCATTGTATATCATTTAGAATTTAATGGAAAGAGATAAACATTCATGTGAAAAAGACAATAGGCATAAAGGAGAGGGAATTAACATGCATTCGCAATAATAAGTACATAGTAAAATTTATGTGAATATGGTAAAAAAAAGTCTTTTGAATATTAAAAAGATTAAAAAAATCTAACATTTGGTAAAATGTGGACGTCACGTTGGTAAAGTTAAAATTGATGTGACTTATATGTCAAAATTACATATTTTGTCAATCACACCAAATGCAATAACAGAAATCACTTTATGAAAGCATAGGAGAAATTTTTTTAAAAAAATTAAAAAATTAAATAATTTATATAATTCACGAGTAGGTTGATACTTTAGCTTAAACTAGAATTAACATATACAGGGCCTAGAACCGTATGCAACAGATCATGAATTGGGCGGCTCAGATTTTATCTCACCAATCAAATGGAGCCCACATTTCCAGAAATTACTAACCGCACTGTAATTACTCCGCCAATTATCTGCAGTTGGATTTCCATTTTACACCCCCTCTCCTTCTCCCTCCCGTCTCATCAAACGCCCACAACAGGAATCGAAACTATCTCAAAAGATCATCAGAGAGAGAGAGAGAGAGAGAGAGAGAGAGAGAGAGAGCAGAGAAGAAGCAAGAATTCAAAAACGCGAAAGAAAAAAAAAGTTTTTTGTTTTGTTTTTTGAATTAGACATGGACGATTACACGAGAGAGATGATGGACCTGAAAACCCTAGTCACTCGAACCTTAGAGAAGAAGGGCGTTTTAGCTAAGATCCGGGTAAATGCCTTCTCCTTACCCACTTTCTGTTTTATTTCTTAATTATTTTTTGGAGTTTAATTAGTATCTATAGTACATTTCTTTCGCGAGAAAGTTTCACGATTCGCGAAGAAAATGAGAATGGGACGACTGAAACTGTTAAACGACTAGTCGCCTTTACTTTGCTCAACTTAGTCGGACGCCTGTTTTTCCTCTTGGATCCTGTGTAATGCTAGGAATATGAGATCCTGTCTTTAACTAACTGGAATATGAGTTATATACGCTTTTTTAACATTTTTGGGTACGATTATGTTCGTTCGTAGATCTTAGTGCGTTCGTCTGTATTTCAGAACAGTATCTCTTAAGCATAAAATTAGGTTTCCGTGTCTTAACTAGGGGGACGATGAAGTAAAGCAGCATGAGAGGAGCTGTGAGTAAAATGGTTGGTGTTATACGAAATGTTTAGTCCATGGAGATATGGAGTAGATTAACATTTTATATTTTGTTTACCAGATCGCAGGGGATTTAGAATTACGTTTTATTTTTCTTTGCTGATAGTTTGTTTGTTATCTGAGCATATTCTTAGTTTTAGGAATAACTGTTCAATGAAATGAAGAGATGACTTGATTATTTGGGGATTACGTTCTTTTGAAATATTTGTAAAAGGTCAAAAAATTGTTGATTTAATAGCAGATGATAAGAGATTTATTCTATTATGGGATGCAATAAATAAATAAATAAATATATAAAGTGTCACAGAAAGCTGGGTTTGGCTTTGCATGGCTGAATTATGTCAGAAGAACATGGCGCACTCGAAATGATATTGTATAATGAGCTAAGTAATCTTCTTTAAATTCTAGTTAACGGCCTTCGAGAATCTTCTCAGCATATGGTTTATTGATGTTAGGCTGAATTATGTCGGAAGAACCTGGCACACTCGGAAATGCTTAGTGAAGTTAAATTTTTTCTTAAAATGATAATCATCTCCACTTAGCGAGTGATTTTGGTTT